ATGTAACATTGCAGCCTACATGGAAAATTACAGATTATATTAACTTCACATGCAATATATATTTTTGGTATTCCATTGACCATAATATTTTATATAAGGCCTTTATATTTTACATTTTGCAATTTCACGATTATTAAAGGCGAGCAGACCTAGCCTCTTTGCAAACCTCGCCCATCTTTTTTTTGTTGCGTTGAGTATATAAATTCTGATTGGCTACAATAATTACACAATAAATGTAAAATTCCAATTTTTCTGTAATTTCGCATAAACTTTTTTTTCCGTTTATACGTTATAAAAATACCGCTTAAATTTAAAACTACAAGTTATTTTTACATAAAAAAGTAGTACTATCACATACATTTTGTCACTAATGTATTTTTACTTTAAAAAATCTAGAAAAGAAAATTTCCAGTCAAATTTAAATAATTTTCTAGTCATAAATGTGTAATTTCCATGTAAAGTTACATGCATTTTTTTCAATGTGTATTCCCACGGCCGTGATCATTTTGCAATAAAAATCTCTGGATGATGCATAGAAATGAAATACGAACATCACGGACGCTGAAGATAGCTAAAATAATTATTTTAGAATACTAGGACGATTGAAATATATACAACGAATTACACAGTTCAACATTTATTTGGAACCTGAATAAACGAAGCGTTTTCCGATGTATTTTTGTTCACTGAAAATGAATCCGGTCTTGGAATTGGCCTAACAGGTCAAGTTTTTGAAAAGATTAAAGTTAAATGTGCCAAATTGGTGTTTTTGGTCATATTTACCATTCTTTTGTGGCTAAAATAAATTATGGTACGATATTTTTTCATATATATAATTAGCATATGAAGAGTGCGACATTGTCGTCGCGCACACAAGTGTTGCCTAAACCCCTTCTAATCTCCCACTACTCTTAATGTTCATGCCCGTCTGAAAACTGGGACCTCTGCCAGCGGCGCTTTCAAATGTAATTATTAATTTTCACCGAGTTATGAAAGGTTTAATCATTCTGCAGTGTAGCATTTGCTACATTTAAGAACAGTTTTTATGGATAGTGCTCATATTAATGAATTATTTTGAATGGATTTCAATCAAAATTATTTTCCTGACACAGTAAAAAAATTTGTGTATTTGTGTTGAAAACGGTCCATTCACGTTTGTGTTAACAATTTGTGTTGAATTTTTTAACATATTCGAGTGTTAATTTAACATAATATGATTGTGTTATTTAAAGATTTTTTATGAAATTGATATTCAATATTTCTTATTGTCAAAATGACACAATTTATCAGTAAGTGAACAAGTAACATAAAAATAATGTGTTTTAAAACGTAAATTCTAATACAAATAAATGAAATATGTGTTTTTTAACATATCATAAATAATAATATCATTTTTCAGATCGCGTATGTGAGAGACACAACCGATAAATAAGAGTCCTATACGATCGAAGCTAGATCTTAAAATGCTTTATATAATTCAATCTTGAATCACTAAATATGATATACATGTATTTGACATATATACCATAATTGTAGTATTAACGAACTGTGCATATCATAAATGTTAATTTTTGAGAAAAAAATATGTTCCCACAGTATATTTACAAATTGTGTCGATGTTATCTTTCTTTATATTTATTCTCTTACATAACAATTGTATTACCTTCTAATATATTCATCTTGTGTAAAATTAACTTAAAAATTTGAATAGACCGTGGGACATGCGATTAATGTTACATTCAACAACTCGATGTTTTTTCCAACTGTGTAGAAAATACGTCGGCCTGATTAGATCGATCGGCAAAAAATTTGCAGATCTGTGTCTTTCTGAATGACAGGCGAGGGCAAGGATGTAGGAACGTGTTATTCTCAAAAAGTAATTCAAAATTAAAAAAAAATTTGTATTATTATATTTTTATATTAATTTTTATATTTCATTTTACAAATAAATTGTTATTTTATTATATTTGTAAAATTGAGGACAATCCTATTGGCTTAAAAATTATTTCATTTTTTGTTTGCTTTAATTGTTACTGTTTGGTGCAATCTACAGATAAGGTCATAGAATTACGAATTAAATCGAATTTTTTAATATTATATTAATAAAACTTTTATATTAATAAAAAATTTTTTAATAACTATTTTTTAATAATTTTTAATAACTATTGATAACACTAGTTTACAAAAAAATTTTTTTCAATTACTTTGGACCAGACTACAGAGAGGGAGAGAGAGAGAGAGAATTTTGTAAAAAAGATATGTGCATATTACAAATTGCATATTTTTTTTAAAGCAATTATGTATTTTCGTTACACCAGTGGATTAGTCTCATAATTGTGTGCATAAAAGTGTTAAGATACAGTTATCATAATGTGACCTTAAAAAAATTAATCCGCATGCACATATGACGCCGCCGGAGTCTCCATATTCGAAATAGCTTCTATCTTTTATCCTTCATAATATGGCTAAAAAGTAAGATATTGAAATAAAAAAAATGCATTTTAGAGGGGATGAACATACATTCATGACTTCTGATCGAAATTTCAAGATAACGTTCACCTTCTTTATAAAAAAATGTCAAATATCGCTAAAAAAACCATTTTTTACATATTAAACCTTAATTATCTTGGAAATCTGATGTGCTAGAATTTTTTCGCTTGCAGCATCGTTTTTAGCATCCAAAAATCTACAAGAGACACATAGTCCAATCCAAAGTAATTTTTTGCTTTAAACTTGTGTAATCGTTCATACATAAGTCATTGAACCTCCCGAACGAACCTGGGTATAATATACAGAGTGTGCAACATTGCGGATCCATGGTAATAGGGTGATGTCTAGACATTAAAGCTCTAGATATACCAAAGTAGCGCATTCTTTTTATCTGAACCGAAATGCCGACAGCTTTCCTATTGGCTATTTCGATCGTCATTTCGATTTAGTTGTCTGTAGTCCAGTAAACGCTTATTATTATTGGAATAAGGTAGTTGATCCAAAATGGGGAACCTGTGTACTTCTTTGCTATATCTAGAGCTTTACTAGACATGCCCTAGGATAAAGCAGATTATATCCGGAATTCATCCTGTCACTGAAGATCTGCAACGTTGTACACTCTATATGTAGTACCGGAGTATTTGTTTGGGAAGCAACGATTCATATATCTGTGATCATTTTGATGCCTATTTTAATTTAAAAAAAATTGCAATAAAAATCAATTAATAAAAAATAGCACATTTTTAACCTAATCTAGCCCGTCCTATCCTATGCGATACGTGATCGCGCGTGTCTGGTTGCGTACGTGTATAAGTGATTGACTGTAACCTTCCCGTTTTCATCATTTCCGGAGACTGTAGACATTTGCGAAGAAATTCTGTAGGAGATAATACTACGGACATTAGATCATTCGTAGATCCACGTCAATCGCAGTACGTTTGAGATTGTTCTGAGTTTATCGCAATTATACATTTGAGATAATCTCAGATTATTCAGTATTTCAATGTGCTATTAGGGTATACAGATACTCAAATACTTTAAAAGTATCTTTTAGATACTTTTAAATTATTTTGTTATATTAGTAATGTAAACAAAACATACAGAACAGGCCCTTATTATGAGATACCAGGTAAATGCTAGAAGTTTACGACCAGAATTTAAAAAAATAATAAATCATTTTCAAGAGAATTTAATAAGATTTCTAAGAAAATGTTACGTAAAATTTAATTCAAATTATTTTTTTGAACTAAAGAAATATAAAAAGTGAGCAAATCGCAAAGTCAAAAAATTGTGTTCATAATATAAGATTGAGAAATCGATAATAAAGTGTAAAGTACGCTAGTATTGCAATTAAAAAACTTTATTTAATGTTTTTAAAATACAAACAAAACCAGTGTAAGCGCAAAATGAGCATGCGATGCATTTTACCCAGGACTCGTCTTCAAGTAGTTGGAAACTTCGCTTGTGGCAGACACTTGATGTTCACTCTGATTGTCCTTTTTATTATTGTATAATAACATTTACACTTTAGCAACAATTTTCACTACAATGACATAGCAGTATAAGTTATTCCATATTAGAAATATTCTGGGTATGTCATATTACGATTTCTACATCTTACGGTTTTACGATCATCAAATCTAACTTCTGTAATTAAGCATTTCAACATATCTCGTATTTTTCTATTAGTACGATCCTACTCTATCACTACAAGAAGAATTTTTTTATTGCCAAATATTTACTTATTAAATAGTAAACAAGGTATAAAAGTTCATCTCAATGAAACTTGAAGATATCCAAATTCTAAAATCTTTTTTACAACTGTAGACAAAATCTAATAATGAATTTTTCATTAAATAATTTTCAATCCAAGAGCAATAAATTTATGGTGGAACCAATAAATAGCATTTATTAGTTTAGCAGAAACGCCGCTATCTCATATTAGACGCCGATCTTATAATAGGGGGCTTTTCTCTAGTAATAGTTACATCAAAAGTGATTTTCAAAAGAAATATACATTTCCTACTAGAGGCAAAAAGTTCGTGAAAGTGTATCTGAAAAATAGTTCAGATACTGTAGTGTTTTGCATCTAGATACTGATACAGATACTCTAATTCGAATGAATATAAATGTATCTCAGATACAGATTCAGATACACAAAATGTCTTTCTATACGTATATCCAGATATATGTATTTAGATTCTATCCAACGGTTCCACTAAAGATGCAGAAAATTTTTTGTCTACTTCAAATTTTCTTATTAGTAGCTTGGAAAAACGTTGCAGTTACTTTCATTATTAAAAAATAATTTTAAAATCTAAATTAAGATTGTGCAATTTTAATGAATGAATTACTGTTTATTAGCAATTGGATCTGGACCATCACTGATCTTCTTATTATTGCAAGTTGTGTCAACAAATAAATCTTTGTGGTCTATTCCAATTTAACACAAACTTGTACATTAATATTAGTTTTTAAAAATAGTCTGTGACTGCAAAACGGAAATATCGTCCTGTTTCTTAATAATCTTTTAATTTCATCGCCCATACAAATGGAAAAGATCTACGCGTTAAATTGTTCCTGACAGCTCCAGCTTCGCGGTATGAATAGGTCTAGGTAGTAATTGGGATGAGGGGGACAGTTTTCCCGAGCATATAACTCTATCGCGTGTAGACTGAAAATAATACCGGTGCCAAGGCCCCAGGTCAACCACATAAAAAGGTTGCTAACAATCTTACGGATGAAGAACATGGGGAAACCTACAGTAATAAATAAGATAAATATTACAGGATAGAAGAAGCCGAATGCAAACCCGAGTATGTATTCGTGGACGATGGCGGAGATGAAGAATACAGTAGTAGCTGATAACACACGGTTGTGTGGCACCACGATTTTGTACATGTCCTTATAGATATACGTGTACAGCCAGTCGTGCACTACCACGTTCCACGTGCGGAAGAACGTGTAGTATGTCGTGCTGTTCCACCAGTCCTGTAACACAAGCGATACAATAATTCATGAAACTGCAGTTTACAGAAATGGATAATCTATGATAGCTTCCGAATGTTATTGGAATTGGATATATGATATTAGAATTCTCTTATTTGAGAAAAATATCTGCCTCGTGTAGCTGTAAAACGTTTCAGTGACCAGACATATATCTGTGTTCAGACATTTACACAAAACGTTTATATATTTATTTATATTATTATTAATCTCCAATGCTTTCTTAAATATAATTTTATAATTTAATTGTATTTAAAGATTATATACAATTAAATTATAATATTATAATTAAAAAAACATTTGAGAGTAATAATAATAATTTTGTGTAAGTGTCCGAACATAGGTGCATATCCGGCCATTAGGACTTACTCCTCTCACGAAATTCTTCTTCTTCTTCTTACATTAGGCCTCTAACCTTTTGTTAGACCTTTCTTATATGCTTGTGGTGCGCACGCTGATTATTTAATTACCACGAGCATATGGGATCTACAAGTTTAAATTTTCAAGAGGTGTTTCTGTGGGTAAGGATACTCTCAAGAGATTGCCAGCTTTTTCCAAAAGGAGCGTAAATATTTTGATTTCTACTGAGATCGAACCCGGGACCTCTGGCATGATAGATCAGTGCGCTCTCTGCCATGCCACGCTCGCGCTCCTCACGAAATAACTATGTAAAATATTTGTGGGGTAATTCTGGAGCTATTAATCCAGCTTGCGTTACTTATATAAGGATAGAGGCACAGATTCTTGCATAACGCATTACATTGAAGCTGTGACAGTGTGATATACAGAGTTGGCAACATTACCTCATAAAAATAACTCATTAGCGTTACCGTTTCTTTTCCTAAAAAGTAACTCATTATCGTTACTCGTCATTGATTTTCAAAAGTAATTCGTTACCGTTATCGTCACTCAAAATGTATGAGGGCAAATCAATAAGTTCTTAGAAAATCTGTCAGAGGGCACTCGCAGTGTCATGTCACATTACTTTTTGACAAGTTGCATCTTTCAGCTGATTACTGTCAAATTTTGAGCGGAATTCATCGCGTGGTTTCATTTCTATAGATGATTAAAGCGAACAATCTTTGTATTTTTTGTAAAATGGAAAAGAACGAGTTTCGTGCAGTGATCAAACATCTACATATGAAAGGTTTAACGCTGAAAGAAATCAAAGCCGAGTTGGATAATGTTCATAGCACATCTGCACCAGCATTTGCGACTGTATACAATTGGGTGAATGAATTTAAATGTAAACGTACATCCACATGTGATGCACCTCGTTCGGAACGTCCAATTGAGGCTGCTACGCCAGAAATCATCGATAAAGTCCACGATATTATTTTGACTGATCGACGAGTGAAAGTGCGCAAGCTTGTTGAGGCCATAGGCATATCATATGGCACAGTGATTTCAATTTTGCACGAACAATTGGGTATGAAGAAGCTATCGGCAAGATGGGTGCCGTGTTTGCTCAGTGTGGACCATAAGCGCGACCGTGTGACGATTTCAATCTCCAAACAAAATAATGTTTGGAGATATTTCAACCATCCAAATGAATTTCTGCGTCGATTCATTACTGTGGACGAAACATGGATCCATTACTTCACACCCGAGACGAAGGAACAGTTAAAACAATGGACTTCACCGGGTGAACCAGCTCCTAAGAAGACGAAGACCGTGAAGTCGGCCGGAAAGGTGATGGCCACAGTTTTTTGGGATGCACGCGGTATAATTCATATCGATTACCTTCCGTCGAAGCAAACGATCAATGGTGATTACTACGCAGCCTTATTGGACCGTTTCAACAACATTTTAAAGAAGAAACGTCCCCATTTAGCGAAAAAGAAAGTGCTCTTCCATCAAGACAATGCACAGATTCATACGTACCCGGCACCGATCGCCAAATTAAACGAATTCTGCTACGAATTGCTTCCCCATCCAGCATATTCGCCAGATTTAGCCCCCTGCGACTATTTCCTGTTTCCAAACCTGAAGAAATGGTTTGGAGGAAAGAGATTCACCACCAGAGAGCAGCTCATCGCCGAAACAGAGGCTTATTTTGAAGGGTTGGACAAATCAGATTATTCGGACGGCTTGAAAAAGTTGAAGAATCGTTGGATCAAGTGTATCGAGCTGAAAGGAGACTATGTTGAGAAATAAAAATGAATCGATAAAAAAAATATGTTTTACTATGTTTTTCTAAAAACTTATTGACTTGCCCTCGTATATATAGTCATGATTAAAACTTTTGCGTAAATAGAAATAAAGTAACGATAAAAGTAACTAGTGAAATCGTTACCATGAACCTTATGCAGAAGAAAATGTAACGTCGTTACTCAATCATTATCAAAAAAAGTAACTTGTAACAGTAACGTTACAAGTAACGCGTTATATTTGCCAACTCTGGTGATATATTACATGAAATATATTTGCGTATTCTACTTGTGAGGTAGATTACTGAAAAGGTATATTCACTTTGTAAAACAATCGGTCGGCAAACTGTAGCATTTCCGCCCAAGCGTTCATCCATGTGTGCAGCAGGAGATAATTTATGGTGACAAGGTAGCAAATGCCAGGAAAACTAGACTTGATGATATTCTTGACGAACCACTTCCAATCCAGATGTTGCGTGCCGAATACATAGAAGACCGGAAATACTAGGCTTTCCAAGATAAAGGCGAGATAGAAGATCGATAGGCCAAATTCGAAAAAATTACGAATTACCACCATCCGCCTAACTCTTTTTGTCCTAAAAAAACCAATTATGCTCAATAGATTCTCTAATTTAGTGTAATCTAATTTCTCTAATTTAATGTGACCTTTCCTCTCAATTTAATGTAGCCAATATGACGGTACTATTAAATCGTTTTTTAAGTATAATGATTAAGCTAAAGCTATATCATCGAATTAAATTATTAAGGATTATGACGTATTGTTTGTATATTTCGAACGAACTTGGGGAAATTTTTTCTAAAGCTGTAACGTATAAATCTATACTGTCAAATAACGAGGCAAATTTTATAATTAATAATTATGTAGCTTGTCACTCTTATTGTATAATTAAAAGCTTATATCTTGTTATTTTTTTCAAAGAAATATCTTTACCTAGGATATTCGTCGCGGTACAGAAGAGTCGGTGCGAAAAGGAAATATAAATATTGCGAGAATCTGGGCTCATTTGGTGGCGGAGTTTCACTGTGAGATTTGTATGACAAAAATCTAGGTGCTACGCTTCTGACAAAAGCGTAACTCTTCATCATCATGCGTACCTAAAGAAGCAAACATTGTTTTAAGCAAAAAAATTTTTGCTTCAACATCTATTATAACATTAGAATAATGTGAAAAATTCTATAGATTTATGTGTTAATTGTTTAAACACATTTAGATGAAAATTACGTTAATGTCTTCAACAATAAGGAGAAATCATTAATAGGTTTTATTTATTTGTATCTACTATCAAATGTATAAAACGAGAAAATTGATTTATTTCTATGTATACTTTGCAAACAGAATTCACACTTTTCGTTTCTAACGTCATAATTCAAGACGCTAGAAGCACAGGTTTTAAAAGGTGCTTACTTGTTCCAGTATTACAATCATCCTACAACATATGGAAAGATTCGCGCCGAGCATCGCCTTAATAGGAAAAATAACGAAGAGAATTTGATACAATATAAATATTGATAGCCAACTATAATCCCATTTTCGGAGGGAGGCTGCAAAAAGAAAAGGTACAGTTGAATCGCTTGAATTAATTAATATTATGTAATTAAAAATCAATTAATATTATCTAATAGCTTTTAGAATTATTATGGTCAATTATTTTTGCACTATATCGTTGTTGTAATATAATTTCAATTTAATTAATCAATTATTACGTTAACTACACTATAAAGAAGATTATTTAAAAAACTGAGATTGTGTTGTACATATTTTTTTTATCAAACTACTCTTTAAACCAAGTGATTTACTTCTAATTATAAATTTCTCAATTAATTTAACTTTCATAACGTTTAAATTAACCACATTTATTTAAATGAACTTAAATTGAAGAGATCGTTACATTTTGGCAAAAACTGAAGTCGCCGGTAAGCCCATTGGGTGAAACCCGCGTAAACACCGAATGTTGAAGCCTGCATGAACGACCAGATGAAGATGCACGTTGGAAATTTTGCAAAGGCATGCCTTAAAGTGTTGGTGCCAACGCGGATCCTTTAAGAATCAGTAATTAAAACAGGGAAAATAAGTTGTAAGAACCAAAGCGTGGTTAAAAGAAAACAAATATGTCGCGAAAATTAAGTAATTAACCGAGTTATCTCATAATTAATTTGTTAATGAGTTTTTTCTATTTTCCAACGAAGGTTCATTGCACTTGGCAGTAAGTGGGTAGATATCATAATTACCGTCTTTTATCACGAGTAGTTTTCCAAACACAATAATGAAGTGATTAAATCGTTTTCTTCAACCCCGATAATATATACGTCATATTTCACAGACAGATAATAAGTACGGTCTTGATTAGTCAGACAGTACAAAATTATAATCTGTGTGAAATCACCAAATATCTTTTAATAATCTGAGACTAAAAATATTTAAAAACTTAATTAAAAAAACTTATATTTGGAAATTTGTAACCAAATGTATTAAAAATTAAAAAGAAATTAAATTTAAAAGTTTTGACTAAAAAAATTATTTAACTAGCATTATAAATGTTATAAAAATATATATTTCTATATATATATATTTTCAAATATATATTATATAAAACTATATTTATGTTTTTCTCTACAAAATAATGAAAGCGATGTTTCTGCAGGGGAGACGAATCAGATTGCCAACTTACGTTCCAAACTCCATGATATCGCATATGATGGTGTTGAGAAGGAGAAGTATGAAAGTCATCATGAACATATTGTAAACCGTGCGAATATGCGGGATGTTGAAGAGATCAGTGAGCAATGAGTTTCTTTCGAGGAATTCCTTATCCGGCATCGTATTTTTTTTGCTGGATTCCCTGCAAGAATATAAAAAATGCAAATATGATCAGTATATTGTAAATAAAATATATACTGTAAATAATATAATATTTTATTTATTACGTTGTGAATTTAAATTGGCACGTGTATATTCTTATGCAAGGTTATGCGCGTTATCTCAAAAAAGTAACGCGTTACCATTACCGTTACTTTTTAAAAAAAGTAACTCGTTACCTTCATTCATTACCAATTTTAAAAAGTAACGCGTTACCGTTACTGCACTCAGAGAAAAAAGTCGTATCAGTAACTATAAATTTGTAGTGAAATAGTGCCTCAACTCTGTATACATATTATTAAATTCTAATAAGAATACTAGATTAAGTGAACTAAGAAAATATAGTACATTAACCATATAAACAATTTATAAATGGTTAATATTACTATATTTTCTTAGTTCACTTAATTTACTTATTGTTCTTATTAAAGCTTTATAATACATAGTTACAAATTTGTGTATGCATTTCTTATTTATTTTTGTCTTCCAAGTTTGAAACCAACGCTGCGCCTTTTATCGTAAGCTGAGTGGTTTCCTTCTTAGGAGAAACTGAACTCCGCTACGTCCCTCTGGTGACAAAGCCGCGTACTACTCATACTGAGCGACACTTTAAAAATTTTTGTCTAAACTAGAAAAATGTAATTGTTATATCTATTTGCATGAAGTCCAAGTAACTATTCAATGTAGTTGAGTCACTACTTCACTACCAATTAATAGTGCATACAATTTGTTACCGTGACTATATTTTTATAATATTCAGCACTACTTTAGTTTCTATTACTTTGTAAAACTAGTTATAGGTACTTCAATTGCAAAAGTTGCCAAATTTATAATTGCTGGAACTATTTTGTTTTCTCTCAGTGTGGTACTTGAAAAGTAACGATTCGTTATTTTTTCGTTACTTTTTTTATAATGCTAAAGTAAGTTATTAGATTTTAAAATTACATTAGCTGATAATTAAGGATGCACCGGATATCCGAAAAGTATCCGGTATCCGGTATTATCCGGTACTTTTTACTGTCCGACCGGATATCATTAGTATCCGGGAATATATCCGATTGAAATTTTATAACATTAAATTGCTGATTTGTTATTATATAGATGTTTTAGAAATGAGTATACATATTCATAATGCCATATTAATATCGTATACATTGTTGCAAAATTACAATTCTTTTTCTACATGTTTTTTTTTTTTAAAGAAGACAGTTCTCCGATTGGATATCCAGAAAATGTCGGATTTCCGACTCGAAGAAATTGCCTTCTCGAATATCCAACCGGATATCGGATATCGGATGTTGCATTCTGTCCGAATATCCAATATCCGGTATCCGGTAATTTTACGATCCGGTGCACCTCTACTGATAATTAATTTAATATTAAATGTGAAACAAATATTCAAACTTGAAACTCTCTACTAACTAATTTGTATATAGAGCAAACTTTTCTCTATATTAAACCCACAACTCTATATTAAACCTACAACCTAGACAAGTTTGATCCTGTACAGGATTACTGTTAAAATTTCGGACAGATGTGTTCATTAGTTTCTTTATTTTGGTCATGTAAAGCAGCCAATTTTTTATTTTTTCATGACAATGCACCTGCTCACATTTCTGTAATTGAAGAAATTTAAGCGAATATATTGCCATGATGGAATCAAATGTTGGTTGCTTTAGGGCATGTTCGAATTCCCACCCGGATGCTCTCTGGATGTCATGTTATTCTTGTTTAACGTTCGGTAAACAACAAGGATGGAGTGATATCTGAGTGACACTCGAGTGGGAATCTGAACCAAACACTACACGATTAAAACAAAGAAACTAATGAACGCATCTATCTGAAATTTTAACAGTAGCACTGTGAAGGATCAAACGTACTAAAAGATAGTAAATAGATAACAGCCAAAATTGAATCTTAAAAATTAAATTCAGATCCAATTTCCTTCTGAATTTTATAATGTTTGTAACTGTTCCACATTACATTATATTTTCGGGTATTTGTGAAATTATCTACACTATCTGTACTTTATAGATATTTTTGCATTTCTCTCTGTTCTGATGATTCCTCACTTTTTGTCACGATGTCTGTCCGTTCTATACAAGAATTCTCCATTTTTCGCCAAAGGTACTGCTATCTTTTGCAGAACATCTGACATCATATCATTAATGCAGTGGTTAACATATTTCAAAACATCCTGTCTTATTTCCTATGAAGAAATACATTTTATATTATACAAAATACAGAGAGTACAAAAATCAGAGAGTCACGTTATCTCTTACGAAATCGTATCTTCTCGGTTTAAACATTTAAATGATAACCCAGGAAAAAATATTTTATATATAATTATATAAAATTATATAAAACTATATATAATTTTATATAATTATATGTGAATGGACATATTTTATATATAATTAAGGAGATGAGCGGAATAAAGGCCTAATTACAAAATCTTGATTTTGATAAAAAATAAAATAACTTGTTACTTTTTTATTATACCACAAATTGGAACAGTATTAATTGTATATTTATATAATGTCTTTGAAAAGTTATATGTCATAATATTTTTCTATTATATATATATATAATCAATATTTAAAAAGTTATTTGCAATTTAAAAAAATGCATTTAGTCCCTTTTTCCAAATATTGATCATAATATTGTAAGAATCGATAAAAAGAAAAGACTATGAACTGCAGAAATGTTTTTTTATTTTCACATTTTTCTAGAAGAAGTACAAAATAAATATGAAATACGTTTTACTTTTATTTGTATGAAATAAATTGAAATATTGTTCAATCATCACCTGCTGAGTTTTCACAAGATTTTTTAACATAAATATTAAGTAATATAAAAGGTCAATAATCGAGCAACAAAGGAACTTACAATTTTTTAATCAAATTTCTATTTATTAAATAATACTAAATGTGAACGTTTCGGACCACGTGTCCTTCTTCAGCACGTATGAAATTTCTCTTAGTGTTGTACATACTCGATTATTGACCTTTTATATTACTTAATTTGCTTTGCATAAAACGAGCGAACTATAATTTAACATAAATATGTTCTAATGAAAACACATTATTGTCGTTCTACCATTTTCGTTCAATCTCTGATAAAAATCTCATTAATAATTTTAAATCATCTTTTTATGTCTTTTTTCCATAGAATATATCATTTTCACCACCACAGGACAATCGAAACACGTTCATATTTAACTAATGTAAGCAACATTAATTCCTTGTTTATTTGCGCTAATCTAAAAATATTTTTTCCCAGGAAATAATTTAACATCATCGTTTTTTGACCTAAACAGTACTAGCTCGATAAACTTAACAAAACTACTTAAATTTATATTCTAATTACGGATCAAGTTGTCAATGGTATTCACACCTGAATTCTTTTTTGCAATCCATCAGCGATCGTCTCATATAAAACATCTGTGAATGCATTTCCATTGGTTGCTGAAATAAGAAATGTAGAGATGTGTATAACGTATTTGTGTACTTTGATGATGTATACGGGGAAAATAAATTTTTTCTACAAGTTTCTTAAATGATATTGTAAAATATGTTGTTTTCTTTTATAATTTTCTAGTTATTACGCTACGATTTTTGGTTATTGAATTATGATTTAAATTGAGTAATGTATTTTCAGATCTTTTCTTAATAAACCTGTACCGAAAAAAATTGACAACATTTTGATAAATATTTGCTTAGTTTAAATAGTACCAATGGAACATTTGTCTACAATAAATAAACATTTATTCAATTAAAAAGAAAAATACTTATATTCTTACAGGTATCATTTTTTTTTAATTGAATAAATATTTATTTACTGTGAGCAAATGTCCTATTGGTCTATCTAAACAAATATTTATTAAAATTTTGTAAATTATTTTTCAGTATATATTTGTCGTATTCTATCAAAATAATTTGAACTTTGATATTGTGATAATTTATGATTTCACAACTTTATGACGGTTAAAATTTTAATAAATCATCACTAATTCATTGTCGTGAAGATGTCACGAATTATTATGATATCATTGTCGAATGTTCCTTTTTCCAAATATGAAGAAATATGTCTCGTTATATAGGAAAAAGATCTGACTCAAATATTATAAGTAATCGATGAAACTAACGCTTACTTTGAAGACTTTCAGAAATCGTGTAGATGGTATAAAAAAGTTAAAATATCGTTAGAATAAGTATATTGAGTGTGTGATGAAAGGAGATTATGTTGAAAAATAAGAAAAATTGCCAAAAATCATGTGTTCTTTTTCCATCAAGCCGAGAACTTTTCGAATTACCCCCATATAGTATATGTACATATACATACATAGATACAAAAAATTTTTACTTTTCACGTTTCAGCCTTAAGGAAAAAGTTACATGATTAATTCCCTAGACCGTAGGATGTCATAGGATCTTGATACTGTTTACACAAATGATACTGAAAAATCAGATAGCAACAGACTGATGAAATTTATTTATTGACACAATGATGTTTATTTTTAGGAATAATTATCATTCTGAATAAATTTGTATGTAAAAATGGAAAGATAATACAGAATTTTTTTGACAATCGGGTATAATTTAATTGTCTCAGGAATCATGCAGCTTACCATTAATTGAGTCATTTATTTCCCAGACAACATGAAATATTTATGTGAAACATTTTTTGAAATATTTCAATAAAATGTTAAAGAAATATTTTGTAAACATTTGTAAGACGTTTCAAAATATTACATTAAAATATGAAAAGATATTTTAAAGATGTACATTTTATAAAAAATTTTTGAAATATTTCAAATTTTACAACGAAACATTTTTTAAATATTTCTGAATATACTGTGTGGGTTACCTGTATTTTTATTCTTCTCGTGAAGGTCTATGGTTTCAGAACTCATGATTAAATAAGGATGGCCTATGAATTTTACACCGAAAATATTAAACTTTGAACGATTTACGATCCCCCCAAAAAATCAACGGCTCCGTACTGATTTATAAAAATGAATCGGATTCGTAAACGATCGAAGATCTCCAATCATAATACACCTGCAATTCACGCCGCACGATACATTACTATTATTTATTAATTAAGACAGTTGTTAATTTTCCTTTAGATTTCCTAAAGTACAACACACGGTTAACGGTATTTGACAGCGAAACGCGAAATGTTCGATCCCGATCTCGACTGTGCATGTTTTGCTCCGTGCATGCGGATTATTTAAACGGGTCGATATCGTACTTATTATCTCATCATGAGTACAGTGCGCACTGAACTAGCCCGAGAGGACACGTGTACTTAAAATGATTCTTTGATGAACGTCGTACCCCAATTCCTAAATGTTTTTCGTGCGTCGTACTGATAAATCCTTGCGACTCATCGTCATTTAAAAAGAACATTCGCACTCAGTGCTGATAATAAAAATTATCTCTGATTTAGAGAATAAAATTTATTTTTAAATTTAGTAAACTGCATAATTTTATATTACAACTGTTATAATTGTAACCGTCACTTGAAAAACATTTTATTTTACTTCTTAAATTTATAGCATCTTTTAATTTTAAAATATACCGTTTTTCAGTTGCATTATTTTTCTTTAGTTGATTCTACTGGAGTCGACTACTCGTTTTTCTTTCCAAAAATATATTATGTAACTTGTCATCGAATAGTAAATTTATTGAGATTAAGAAACTTTGAACACGAATTTTATGAAAGAAATGCAAAATCGTATCATTTAGTTAACTTTAGCATGATTTTTTTTTACAAAAGTCAAGAGAAAGTCAAAATGACTTTATTTTAATGTCATAAAAGTCAAAATGATAATTTTTGTTACAAAATTTGACTGTTTTATTAATATTAATTATAAGAATCAAGATAAAGTTCTTTTGATTCTTTGTTAATTTTTTGTATTCCTTGGGCTACGATCTCTACTGTGATTGGCCGATTCACGTACGCTACATTGCTTAATCCCGTTTTAGGTTCCACGGACTTTAATTTGTGCGGCGCACGAAAAACAATTGTACGTGCGTACAGTGCATACTGAGGATCTATCAGTCAAAGTGCACATGTCCTCTCGGGCTTGTTCAGTACGCACTGTACTTTAAACGTCTTACGCAGTGCAAGTACGTGCGACAAGTACATGTACTGATAAGCAATAAGAAACATTCCTGATACACTTTCAAGTATTTTTCTCATTGTATTTTTTTCCATCGTCTTTTTGTGATTCTGTCAATCGCTGACGTCTTTGACTAGAAAAAATAATGACGTTTTTTGAAACTTGGTCCCTACACATACAATTTTTAAAAACTTTTACGTATAAACTATTATATATCGTAATTAATATTATTAAAAATGAAATAGCCGAAACTGACAAGGGATGTTGTCCAGATGTTCAATTAGTTTTGAAAAAGTAACGGTCAGAAGTTGTAGGGGAGACTGGGGTCAGTAAACTATAAGGGTAAGTAGAATAATCGAGGCTACGTTATAAACAAATCGCGCGAGACACGCGTAAATCCGTCTAAGCACGCAGCAGCGATTGCCGCTCACTGCTCAGTCTACTGTAACATCTCGTTGCTAACACATCTATGATAGAAGTTACGCTACAATTTTTAAAAAATCGTACACCTAAGTAAACATTTTTATTCTTAAAGTTTTTGGTTTACAATTGTATATAATTGTCTGAGATATTTTATTTCCATTTATATAGTAAGCGTAGTTCTTATTTAATAAAGTCCAACAGATTTTTTTTTGTTCATCTGTCTTTGTTATCGTATACTGTTAATGTTTTTAAAAAATGAACGGATGGGGCTAGTAGGCTAACCACAATACGGGGCTGTATGACTAATTTAATGATGACTCTGATAGTATCTACTCCCAAACTTCTTGAAATGAAATCTCACTCTAAAAGAGTGAAAATACAGTCAGTTTTGAAAAAGAGTGAAAATGTTTTACTTCTTGAAAAAGAGTGGCAATATTTCATTCCTTTAAAGAGATTTACCTCAGTGGTAAATATTATAAGTTTAGTTCCCTTACGTCTAATCTCGATAAAACTAGGCTCATTCGACGTGTTTTTGCGAAACGAAAAGAATGAAATTAGCAAAAAGAAGCATTGTTCTGCCTTGTGAATCGAAATATTAATCGTTAAAGTTTGTTAAGTTAGAAAATATGTCATTCACTACGCCCTGGTAAAAAAGTTGATAGAGAACGATAGAAAAATCCTATCGTTTTCAATATGAAATTTGGTTCGTAAATTCACTAATTTGAATTAGATCTTATAGGAATCTTATATAAATCTTACAAAATCCGATAAAACACGATAGGATTCATATCCGATCAATCGTGATGCTCGCGA